GCCTGGCTGGCGGCCTCCCTGCGTCCCAGGCGCGAAGGCGGCGACTGCTACAAGTAGGAGCTGGCACGTTTGGAGGGATGACATTCAAGGAAACAGATATCAGGGGAGAGCCGTGAGACGGAGTGATTTTTTTTTTAAGGCTGACAGAGTTCTTTGTTGCAATCCTGGGCAGCTTTTGTACAGCTGGAGCATCTGGTTGTTAACTTGTCACTTTGTTCTCTTAGTCCTCGGTTGATTTCTGCCAATCAATGCAGTTATGATTTTAAAACGTGGAGCTGTGTTTTCCTGCACCTTCCTATGGGAGACGTGGAAAAATGGCTTTCCTGTTACTTTCCTAAGTCTGATTTGCCTTTTTATATCTGGCTTCTGGAGATTAAATAACAGAATGGGGTTCTGTGCTGCTTCTCTTGTGCTTTTCTCTGGCTGATCTTGGGCACATCCTGGCTGTCTCCTTCCTTCTGACTTTCATTTGTGTTAATCCAGCAGAGCCTTTGCCTTCCTAAGGGCATCACAAAGCAAGCCAGAGTACCTCATTCATACCTCACGGTCTGCAGCTCCATATGGTCGTAGTTGAATCTTGTGACAGCTACTACAATAAAGCGCGACCCTGTCAGACTGAGACACCGATCCGCTGTTTTTGCTGCTGCTGCTGCTGCTCATCAGCTCTTGCTGGCAGGATCCCCAGGCTGGGCAGCAGCCAGTGGTAGCAGCAGGAGGAGCTTTCTTGCTCGTAAGGGTTTGTGCATCCCTCGTTGCCGTCTGCAGCGCTCTGCCTCTGCCTGGCACCTGTGGAGGACAGTAATGCACCTTCACAAACGAGGCTAGATCCTAAGCTTGAGTGTCAGCAGCTTGGTGTTTCAATGTATTCCTGAAGGGGACTGCTAATAGGTAGGCTGTGACTCCACGACTGGCTTGTTGGGATGGAAGTTTTACGGTGCATATATAGGGAAATCTCAGTTTCCATTCTAGTTGGTTCAAAGCAGTGTTACAGCATTGTAACAAACCAAGAGGCCACTTTGTTTGGACCTGCTTTAGAGCAGTCTAACCTCGGTGTGGGGCTTGGCCAGAGTCTCTGACACCTTTGGTGGTACACCTTGCATTTTCCCCTGCTGGAAATGTTTGTGGGGATGGTCTTCAGCCTATGGATTTGCAGCTACTACAGATGGTGGTGGGGGGTGATAATGACAAGAACTGTGGGCTTTGCTAAAGGATATGCTGAACTTGTATCTTTCAATGTTATGTAGGGCAAGGAAACAGCTGTGCCTCTACATCAAAAACTTCATGTCCATTTCTGATTTTTTTTTCTTGTTCACTCACAGTTTAGAGCATTATTTTGTGTTTGGGTTCTTGGAGAGTTTTGGATCTTCTCTATAACTAGTAGCTTTCCCTTCCATAGGCATTCCTCTATAGTTTGTGTAATTGGGTTCCTTAAGTCTTGGCTAAGCTTCCTGCAGATGGGGTTTCTGAGAAACTCTGCCTCTTCTTCGTGCCCTTTCTTCTATAGCCTTGGTCAGTGCTTGCTAAGGAAATCCACTGGTTTGCTCTTACCCATCTAGAAAACAGGCTCTTGTCAACAGTAGGCATCCTGCTCTTCTTCACAGAGGGGTAGGTTATGTTAATGTTCTCTCTTGTCTGTGGTCTGGCAGAGTCTGTAGTGGTAAATATTTGCCTTCTGGTATTCTGAGACATTGGGGAAAAAAAAAAAAACAAAACACCTGGCATGGAAAAATCAAGCACAGTTAATACTTTGTAAGTATTTCTGTCCAAATTTGGACATAATAGTAGCATGTACGGTTGTTTGGATGAGCAGCTTAGTTAAAACATGAGCAGAACCTGTAAGAAGTTTTCAGCATCCTCTTCCCCTCTTGCCTTCAGGCTGCTCTGAGCTGTGTGCAGTTCTGGTGAATAAACTGCTGCTCTGGAGGGAGGAGGAGGGAGGATTTCAGGACAGGCTGACTGGGTACAGTTTTACTTTCATGAAATTAGACAGCTACCAAGCACACAGTGTTCTTGGCTTTTAACAAGACTTCTTTTTCCTGGATGAAAAATAACATTGTGGCTGCTGAGGGCTGTACCTGCTGGCGTTGCCATTCTCTGAACTGTTGGTATTTTCACCCAAAGGTTTCTTTTGGTACTTCATCTTTTGCTTGCTACTTCCCAAAGCTTGGGTGAGATTGCCAGAACAGTGCAGAAAGCACTTGGTTTTGTTCCTGGCTTCTGTGGTTGTGTGTCTGGTGGTGGAGGCTGGGTGGGATGGGATTTTTTTTTATTTTATTTTTTTTTATTTTGGGGGGGGGTGCCTTTTTTTTTTTAAAGTCAGTACTGGTTTTAGGCTTCCAGAGTTTGTCAGCATAAAGACTCATATCAACACAGCTGTACTATTTAACAGCAAAAAAACCCATTCCCACTGTGCATTTAAATCACAAAGTGAAGAAAGAAGAAAGATTTTCCTCTCTCCTGTTTTTCCCTCTAATTTTGAGATTTTCGTGTTCCTTAAATGCATTGCTTAAGTGCTTGAGAGATGAAATGTGACATGGAAATTGCCTCCATTAAGTAATTCAGTGTTCTGACTGAGAAAGGAGTTTGTAGACAAGTGGGAGTCGGTCTCTTCTCCCAGGTAACAAGCAGTAGGTCCTGAGGAAATGACCTCGAGTTGCGCCTGGAGAGGTTCAAGTTGGTTATTAGGAAAGATTCTTCACTGGAAGGGTGGTCAGGCATTGGAACAGGCTGCCCAGGGAAGTGGTGGAGTCACCATCCCTGGAGGTATTTAGAAGTCATGTAGATGTGACCCTTAGGGATATATTTTAGTGGTGGATGTGGCAGTGCTGGGTTAAAGGATGGACTCGACCTGAAAGGCCTTTTCCAACCAAAATGATTCTGTGATCAACTGTGCTCTTATTGAAAAGCCTTTTAAAGTAAACTAGAGGTAGTGCCTGGTTTTGAAAAGCCAGTGTGTCATTTCTCCATTCAGTTACAAACTGGCTTGAAAGCCTGGAAAACCTTTATCAGTTGTGGACACAGAGGGGAAAAAACCCAAGCCTTCGAAATTCCGGCACATACCCTGAGGCAGATAACCAGGACACTTTCACTTACATGCTAATCCTGCACAGCAGTTGTTTGTGGTTGCTGCATCCAGCCCTTTCCAATCTGTAGCTCTTATCTCTTGCTGGCACTAAGCAGCATGAGAGGGAGGGGACAGCCCTGCTAGGAATGAGGGCTCTATTTTTGCTTTTCATTGCCTGAGTTGTTCTGGGGTATTTGGGTATTTCAGTGATTGCCTGAGTTAGCTGCATCTTCAGTACTGTGCTCGTCTTAAAATAACTGGAGCTTTTTTAAACTTCATTTTCCTGTGATTAGAAGGAGTCGCTACAGTCAGTGTTATACAGTGCATCTCCTGTAGGATTTGCAGGAAGCTGGATGTTAAGGAGAGGCAGGAATGAAAGCTGGTGGGTTGGACTGCCCTGGGAGCCCCCGCCTGGGGCTGCTCTGCACGGGGAGCCTCTGAGTCCTGCAGCGACGGAGGCGACGCTGTGCACCGAGGGAGTGATTCATCCCTCTGCCATTTGTGTGCCGCTGCTCTGTTCAAGGCTGCAGAGTATCCAAAGGCACAGTTACTGTGCGTGCTCCCGAGTGACAGCCCACCTCGTTAGGGAGAGGCAGCAATAGGGTGCGCTGGGTTTCTGTTTCTCTGCACTGTCGCGTGGAGGACGTGAATTCTGAATGCGATCGGGTGCAGTTCAGAGGTGTGGATGCCGAAGGGCTGCTTGGTTCTCCTCTGCTGGGGGGTCAGCTGGGTCACCTGCCCAAACTCAAGAGTTTGAATCTCTCTGTTACAGACTAATGTTTGTTGTCTCCATGCTAATGGCAGCACTGGGATTAGCTGGATGTTCTCCCTGTGTGCTTGGACAGTCAAGGTCCAGGTCTCAGCAGAAGCCCTGAGAGGGAGGAGGGAATACAGGAGAGAACTTTTAGGCTTAGGCAGAAGATGGGGCACAGTACCCTTCCTACATCCTTGCTGGAGTCATCCTTAACTGGATTTGCTGGGGAAGGAAGTTGGCATCCTGTCTAAGGTCAGGAGCCACTTGCCCGAGCAGTGGCCCCACTCTGCGCCTGGGATTAGGTGCTGTACATAAATTGTTGCAGCCTGTCATTCAGTCTAATTTATTAAGTGCTGTATCATCCTTTTACCTTTGTCAAAGTCAAGTTCTGTGCATGAGAAAAGGCAAACAGACCTCTGCAAGTCCAGCCCTACAGATTCACAACTCCATGATAACGTGTACCTCTGACATCCTGGCGAGTGCTGAGTTCTGTTTGTGGGTTCCCTTCGCAGATTCCCAGAAGTGAAGGTGTCTGTGCTCTACTGGGGACAAGGGGGACAGTCCTTTTGGTAAGCAGCACTCTGAGCTTCTCTTGTGGATACCGAGGGAAGACCTGAGAGGGAACTGCCTGGAGGAGGGTTACAAGGATGTAAAGGTTTGGGAAGCGAGGAGCTTGGCCCTGTCACAGCAGAGATTACTTGCTGTCTTCAGCTGGGCAAAGCTGCACTAAGCTATTCTGAAAAGCATGACTGATTTTTAATCTGGTGACTGCTATAACAGAAAGTGTTACAGAAAGCAATTCCTTGCAGTGTAGTATTGAACTTCAAGATTTTTTCCAAGGTTCTCGAGGATGGAAAACCTTTAAATGGTAGCAGGAACTTATTTGCCTGGGATAGCTAGAGATGTTGCCTAACAGCAAAACTCTTTCTCTTTTGCCTGCCTTCATCCTATGGAATTGTATTGAAGAGGGCAGGTGAAACTCTTATTTTTTGATAGCTCACATTTAACCTTGTGTAATTATTTTTATTGATTATTTTAATACCTTATATTTTAATACCTTAGAAAGTAAATTTCATTTGTTTAATGAAATGGCAGTTGCTATCAATGCTTTTTTTTCCCTGTATTTTACATCACCTAATAGTGAATTGCAGGCACTCTTTCACCATTGTTTTGTTTCCTTCAGTAGGTTAGAAATGAACTTACCTTGGCAGGAAGCGCTGGGCCAGGCTGGCAGAGACAGTGCTTAGCCCTCACATGCCAGGTGAGTTCAGCTACTCAGTATTTTTCTCTCCTTGTATTATCACAGGGTATACATGTAGTAAATAACATAATAGGTGAAACAACACCTGACCTTAAAGTAAATACACCGTGTTTGTTGTTTGAAGTACTTGGAAATATTTGGACTGTGTGCCGACTGAAATCAAGCACAACCAGGAGCCTGTGTTTTTCAGATAAATCAACATTTCACTTACCGAAAAATCGGTCTTTAAAAGGAGACGATGTGTTAAGGTTTTTGATGGTGCTGCTCTAAGTGCCAGTTGAGAGTGTGGCAGAGCAGGCTGAGCTCCCTGACCTCTGCCTTCAGCTTGTCATGTGCAGAACTGTGTCTGCAGAGATTTTGGCTCGAGCATCGAACCAGTGGTTTCTGAGACACAACTGGCAACAGCTTAAAGCTTGGGCGCTGAAAGAAACAGGCTCCTGTCAGACAATTCTGCCTTGTGCAGTTACTGAATGAAACGTCGTGCTGGAAGTAAAATGAACTGGTTTACTTTGGTTTATTTTTTTTTCCCTCCGAGGGTGTGAGCTTTGTGAGGAAAGGTAGAGATGTTAAAATCCCTGTCAGAACACCCTGGAGATGAGATTGAGGCAGAGGGGATTTAAGCAGCTCTTTACCATGTGTGTGCAAGCAATGGTTGTCAGAAAAACAAGGAAGCAGTCAGAAGGTTGAGGGCAGCTTCATTTGCAATCATTTCTGTGCCAACAATTATTAACTCCAGTAGAGCTGGCAAACTACAAAACTTCCTGCAGCAACTTGGAAAGTACTGAGCTCTATAAATAATACAATCAGCAACAGGCAAGGATTTAAACTAGGGTCAATAACTTTGCTTTTAAGTTCAACCAGTAGTCAATTTGGAACAACTGATTTGTATTGCATGCCTTGCTGTCTGTAAGCTTTATAGCCCACCCTTTCCTCTGTGTAGGACAGTCACACAAACATTTGGTTTAGCTCAAATGAAAAGGCAGAGGTGAGAGGGTGGGAACAGAGGTAAATCCTGCAGAGGAAGAGGCTGACCTTAGGGAGTTTCTCCTTACCCCACATTCCCTCCTTTCCTCTGGACACTAACTCATCTGCTGGTGTCAGACATCTCCAGTTGTAGGAGGGAAACATTAAAGCAACAATAAAGTACAGCTAGCTTCTGTTTATCAGACCTCCTTGGAAAAGCACCAAAAAAATAAAAAAAGAATAACATATAAAAAAACTTTGACTCCAAACTTGGCTTCTTCAGATTGGATCTTTTCATCTATTTTAAGTAAAGTGTCAGGGACAAACTCTGATAAAAATACGTTGTTACCAGTAATGTAGTGAGAAGGAATTGGGCAGCACACCCATGTCCCTCCCAGGGAAGCTGTGTATCTACCTTGGGTGGGTCAAGACTGCAGCTGTCAGGTTGTAGCTGCTGGTAGTGATTCTTTGCCATGCTGTGGGCTTCTAACGACCTATTTATCCAGAAGAGCAAGTGGAAGTTATTTTTATTAATGTTTTATTAATGGTAAATATTGAAATTAGACATACACAAGATATTACTGTTACAAAGTTTTGAATTATTCAGGTATCTGAAGTGCTTTCAGATTCTCTTTGGCCTCTGGTTTGATCAGTGTATGTGGTGGAGAGACATGGGTATAAAGCTCAGGGGGTTTTTATAAGCCTCCATAGTTTTTTGTACAGTGAAGGGAATCCTGCCTTTTACTTGTTATTAAGTTACTAACTCTGCCTTTTACTCATTTAATGACAAATTATTACTCACTGACAGCTTAGCTCTCCTCTGTCTTGGGTAAAACTGGCAGCAGGGTTTATGTTACAGGCCTGTTAACTGTACAACCTGCTCTAAAACACACTGGCATGTGCCTGCAGCATCTCAGCCGGCACAAAAGAAACTTTTTGAACTTTACTGAAGCATTTTACAAATGTTCTGACACAAAGCTAAAGGTATTAGAGCATTTCTAGGGGCTTTGTGGTTTCAGAAGCCTTTTAGGTCTGACTTTCTGCCAGGAACTCCATCCACCCCTTCTCTGTACTGTCACTTCAGCCCTACAGACAGGTAGTGAAGGTTTTTATGAAGGAGCAAAAAGAGGAGAGGAGCTTGTCCCGAGGAGGCTGCTTCCCCTGAGTCAGCTACTGCACTGGGGAAGTCCCACCCTACCTGTGAAGCACCATTTGCCTGCAAATGGGATTGATCTCCTCTGCAAATATTTGCCTGTGATCAGGTTACTGGACTGGAGGCTCCGTTTCCTCCAGTGTGTAAAGGAAATAAGTAAGGCTTAACATCTCTGCCATGATTATATTTTCAAAGGCTATTTACAAAAAACTCTTTAACTTTGGCTGACCTTAGAACGACGTCATCGGGTGAAGCTGTGGGGGAACAGTTGGTTTCTGTGCAGCACAGTCTTTATTTTGGCTGGCAGTCTGTTAACTCTGATAAGTGGGTAAGTGCATGCCAAGCAAAGTCAGGCATATCGTGAGATTCTGCTTTGCCTGTGGAGAGAAAATAGGCTGAGAAACAGCTTTGTAGGCTAGTAAACAAAAACATATACCAGGATTTGGAGTGGACCAGTTCTGGATCTTGAGGAGTTCAAAAGAACCCTGTCAGGCGTTTTGTTGGTCACTTTCCCTTCTCTAGATGTAGAGTTGTCCTGCTTTAGTGAGAACGGTGCTCTGGCTCTGCTGGAACTGCCTTGATCTCAGCAGGCTGCTGCTGCTTTCCCTGACCTCTCCAGGGAAAAAACGAAAACAGCTCTTGTTCCTTGTGAACAGCGTCTGGTGGCTGTGTGCTTGAGCCTCCTTGAGCAACAGCAGAATGACACTGGGAATCAGTGTCACCCTGCCCAAAGGGCGCACGATGGCCACGACACAAGGCTCTGGTTATGCTGGTTGTGTGGTGCTGCTGTGGGCTGGTTTTGGTGTTTATGTCCTGCAGCAGCAGCAGCAGTCCCCGGAGTTAAACATATTTGTTTGCAGTTTGAGGAAAAGAGCAATGCGTTGTCAGCTAGGAAGAAACAGATTTTATTTGTTTCCTAAGACCTTTACATTCCTAGATGGCTTCCATCCTTTACTGGGAGTTGCATTCAAAGGCAGCCTGAATTCAGGTCAAACTTTCCCTGCTTGTAGTAGATGGATGTTGCTGATAAAAACATTTTACGCACACTGTGCTGAGATTTATTTAAGCTGCTTCTACAAGCGTCTGTAGTGAATTTAGCTTTCCTTGGAGCTCACTGAGAATGGTAAACTGTTTACTGCCTTTCTGTGAAACACTATTTTGACAGGTTTCTTCAGAAGCACAAAAGGAGATGTTCTGTTCTATGAAAATAACTGGAGCCAGTGGCAAGGAGCAGCAGCAGCACTGCACCAAACAAGGAAAGCATTTCCAGGTTATCAAAACATGCTGTTGAACTGAATTTCGCAGCTGCATTTTCCAATGTACCATGGGATGCATCAAATCCAAGGCTGCCTGTCAAGGTTCGAAGGCTATCCAGGATGAGAAGATCGGGGTAGGCACCGAAGGATGCGCCGGGGAGAAATCCTCTCTGATAGCAGTGAAGGTGGACGAGAAGGGTCCCTCGAGCACCATCGTGCTGGACTACGCGCACCGCCTGTCCCGGGAGATCCTAGAGCAGGCGGTGAAGCAGTGGGCAGTGACGGAGAGCAAGTACAGCGACATCCCCTTCATCGAGAGCGACGTGCCCTGAGCCCCGGCCTGGCCCCAGGGAGCGGCCTGGCCTGTCAGTGCAGCAGTTTGTACATGGTACTGGTGCGAATAAAGCACAATCGGCTGTGGTTTGAGGATATTGCCACTGTATGGATGGGTTTGCAAGGAGAGAGGCTGAGAAAAAAAGTTTGCCTTTTAACCTGCATTGCTAACAAACTAATTGGATCACAGTCGAATCTGTTCATCGAGTGTCATTTGTTATCAGCTGTATGTTGAGTATATTCTGTCTTTGTATGTGTTGGATGTGACCAGAAGTTAGGGTTAAAAAGAAGATGAGAGGAGTGTGGCTGCCCTGCAGCTGTACAAGCAGTGCCAGAGAGGCCCCAGCGACACCGAGTGACAAAGCGTGGATTATTTCTCTGTACTGCATAAAAGATCAGTGGCCTGTTAGCAGGTGAGAAGAACTCTCTGTGCTTGGTACATTTGTCTGCGTTTTGCTGAAGTGAAACCAAGGTCTGCACGTAGCAAAGGTAACTGCTGCCATAAATTTCACTCTGATTCTTTGACCTGGCCAAATCTGTAATACCACAAAATAATGAAGGCGATGGCAAGCGTTTCGTAAAACCAAGCAGGATTCAGGGAACAGTATGGATGACAAGACCATTCACCTTCCATTCTGGGGTGAACCAGTGAGAACCATGGCAGTACTGACAAAACAGTGCATTATAATTAGCAGATGCTTCTGTAAATGCGTGACAGCTAGTCTCTGAAATCCTGCAGTAAGACAGGTTGATGACATCTGATCACTGTGTTCAGACCAAAGCTGTTCGGCTTTTTTTGGGTTTGGGGGTTTGTTTAGGTTTATTTTCCTGTTTGGGTGCTGGTTTGGGGGGGGGATTTGGTTTTGTTGTTTTGCTGTAACCCAGATAGGTGTGCAAAAACTACTGATGCTAACTAGTGAAATGAACCTTCAAAGGTGTGACAGTGTTTTAGGACAATTCATTTCATGGGAACTATGGCTGTGTTACACTAAAACTCCTCTCTAAAGTAGCACCCATGGGACAGGACACCTTCCTTCAGCTTCTGTGGGCTCTTGCTCATCTGTTGGTAAATCTGTGTGTGGTGGTGCCAGGAAGAGCCCCAGGAGCCCAGACCCTGAGCAGTGCCCTGCATGCACTGAGTTAGTGACGAAGCCTTAGGCCCAAAGTTCAAGGGCTACATTCTTTACCCATTTTATCTGGCTTTTATCCACACACTGCTCCCTGCTTCCCCAGGACTCACAGCCTGACCCACCGCGCTCACAACTGGCATTTGAGAGATCAGAAATGGGATGGATTGTATTAATCTTAAAGGGATGTTGTTGCTGGCATTTTATCCGAAGTGAAGGCCTTGTAACAGCTTGGTGTTTTACCACCTGTTTGTTCCTTTTTTTTCTGTGATGGCCAGTTTAAAAGACATAGTTCTTTTTCCTAGATCAAAGTGCTTTCCATTTTATGTTTTCATTTTATAGAGAAATGCTTTCCATACTGGCAAAAGCTGTTACTATTTTTAAAAGGTACATGTAGTTCTAGTGAATGATACAAAGCATGATTTTTCAAGCAATGGGAAGCAAGCAGAGAGAGGACCATGTCAACTGTTATTTTTAGCTTATTCTCAGACATGAGACAGCCCATGAATTGAGCTGTTTCGCAAACGGTGAGGCACAAATTTAGTTATTTCAAATTCACCTATATTGGGAAGTGGTTTTATCAAGAGTAAATCAAGTGAAAAATGCTTGTGACACAGCACAAGACTGCTGCTAATTCCCAGTGACCAGACTGGACCCTGCTATTAAGACTGTTCTCAGGCTTTTGCTGAAAAAGGGAACAAAATCGGCTTATGCTGTAACGTCCTCTTTGAAGTAACGTCGTTGTCTTCAAAGCCATATGCAAAGTGGGACTAAGGTATTAAGGCTCACTTAAATTCTACTGCTAATAGTGATGTTCCTTGAAGTTCTGCAGCATAGAAAACATTAGCTCATACCCTATGTTTGCTCTGCCTAAAAAACCTCTGTGTATTAGGGCGAGTTAGAAAGCAAAGCCAAAATGCTGACCAGGTCAGTACATATCAGTTGTGCATTGTTTAACCACAGTATTAAAGATTCCTATATTATAGCTAAAACAAAGCTTTATTACAAAACCAGGCCAACCACTCCAACATGAGTTTTGACTCGAGAATGTTAACGCAGCTACCCACAGTAATTAAAAAAAAATAAAAAATCCCCAAGCTCCACAGCCATTCTTGGCCAGGCAGGTGAACAGCAGATAAAAACTGCACTCCCTTTCAGAGTGCAATGAGGTGGATCTGCCTCAACCCTGGCACAGACGCCTTGGTGGCTGCCATGGGGAGTTGGGTGTTGCAGTGCTTTGCTGCTGCCACGTCTCAAATCCTTCCTCTGGATGTAGCCTTAGCATCTGACACTCTCCAGGAATATCAGATGCACTTCTGAAAGCAGCTCCTCTGCTGGCAGGCTGCCACCGCACGGCCCAACAGCAGGCAGAATGATAAACCAGCCTGAACTTACATCACAGTATCCGTTCTGATAAATACTCAGAATTTCCCCAAAGGAGAAGGTTGCCCAGGTGTAATTAAACATGCACCACAGACTGCTTCCATTTGGAGAAGCTGCTGTGTGGGATGGTGGCTGTGCCGCTTGGTGGGTCCAGCCAGTCACTCACCTGCAGCCCCACACCTCGTCTTCCCTCATTAATGCCTGATGATTACAGCAGCTTCAGTGTGGCCTGAAGTGCAATTCCAGCTGGTTTATGCTGCTTTCCATGACACTGGCACTTCAGGGAAAGCGTCCAGCAAATGGAAAGCAAACAAGCTTGCAAACAACAGGGAGGCAGCTTCTCACCAGGAAAATCATCTCTTTCACAAGATGCTGTCCTTATAAATAATGCACTTATCCTTAATAAAAAATAAATAAAAACTGTTCAGTACCACAGTCTGGTCAGACATCGAAGGAAATCCCTTTCCAGAACCCTGCTGTACATTCAATAGGCGCAATAATAATGCATAATAAAAATGAAGACTTCTTTACCTAAATAATGTTACAACTGTTTACTTACCATTAAATTGTGCTAAGCTGTGCTACAGTTTTATAAAGTTTATAAGCCCATGTACAGTGGGTTCCCAGCTAAGTTGCCACTGATTCTCTTTGACTTGATGGTGTGAAATAAAGGCACTCGAGTTTAGGACTGGCAAACTCTGCAAAACCATTTACTTCTGTTTAGGAGTTAAAAAATACTTTTGCTTTATATTTTCTCCAGGAAACCTAAGATTAGTCTGAGTGGATGTGATGTGACGGACTTGACGTTCTAATACTGGTTCAGAACACATTAACTGCAGCACAACTTTGTAAAATCGACATTTCTGGAGTAAGACACATCAGTATTCCCAAATAGAACACACTACAATATATTTTTACAATATTTTTTGTGGAAAATATTTTCTTGTGGACCAAATAAAATTGAACTTACCATCTGCTTGTATGCCTTTTATTTGATAAAAACACACAAACTGGACAGAATTTTGTTACCATGAGCCTGGGGTATTTCCTGTTCACATAAATTTTGGAGGCAACTGAACATGCAAGTCAAAGCTTATGAATTGAGAAATATATTCTTGCTAAAACCTTGTAAGTCCTTTACAGTCAGAGAAGGCATGGCCCCTACTCCCTGGGAATTATTGTGTTTTTCATTAAATGTAGTCATTGAAGACCACTCCTTTTGTACAGAAGTAATGAAAGTAACCAATCTTTAAAAAATAAATTAAAAATAGCCATCATTTAAGAATGTAAAACATATAAAAACTTTTAAAAATAAGGGGGGAGGTTTACACTTCTTACAGAACCAGCCTGAGGTAGAAATTCAAGTCATATTTTCAGAATTACCCTAAGGGTATTAATGAAATTTTTCAAGTACATTTGGAAAAAAGGAGATAACAAATATGTCCGTGGTAACATTAATTCACAGCTGAAATTTCAACAATTTTATCTTGAAAGATTATAGCAACAAAGCAAGGTGCCATTTTTTCCTCAATTTTGCTCACCTCTGATTTTTTGAAAGTCACTCTGGTCGTTCACCTTGCTGCTTGAATTTCCTGGACTTTGTTTCCAGGCAACAGCTCCTGGAAAGGATGGAACCTTAAGCCATTGCAGACCATAACTGTTGGTAATAAGAACTGCCCAATATTGAAAACTCCATTATGGTTCAGCTGTAGCTCTGCCTTTTTGATTCCCCGTTGCTGGTTACTGACTGTGTTATTTGAACAGAAGTTTTCTTCCTTCAGTCTCTGTGGTTCATCATCAGAGAAGCCAAAAATCTGTTATTTGTGACCTGCCTGTAACTGTAGAAACAAGTAGGAAGAAATACTGATACATGATTTGATGAACCTTACAAAAGCATGTGGGAGTAATTTAAGAAAGATCAGTAGCTGTGTCTTGCACACACAATAGAAAAAAATAATCCCTCCCCCCAAAAATAAAGATTATACTTTAGCAAGGGGCTCTGGTTATGTCATATATGTCATATAACCTCATGTATTAGTATCAGAACCCAGCAACCTTTAATGCACAGGAACTGTGCTGCTTGGTGTTCACAGTAAGGTCCGAGGCAGTTGTTTCTTCAGCACCGTAAGACCAAGAGAAATTTGCAAATTTTTGCAGTCGTGAAAAACTAATTATGCAGTTCGGTCAGACTTAATAGCATTTTAAAAAATGGGCTGTACAATCAAACAGAAGTGTGCTCTAGGCTCTGGCAATATTTTGACATTTGAAACAATGTTTAGAGCACAGAGCAAGGCTGAATAATGACCAGATGTTAAATCAATAGAACAATTTCTTGTTCTCAGACTAATAATATGCCAGCCTGAGCTTTTATTTAAAAGGCTATTTAACACCATGAATTCTGTCTTCCACTTTCCTTTGTAGCTCTGACTGTTTTAAAGCTTTAAGGATATTTTATTTTCATTGCATGGAGAAGAATCTAAGGCACAACTCCAATTTAACAGGTCAGTGACAGAACCAAGTATACAAGAGGTCTCCTGACTTCTTGCTTATTAGGTCACCCCTTAACTGTGCTCTCTTCCCTAAGGGCTCCTCCTAAACCAATGGTTGATGCAAAAAAATTAAATGTTAATCATTGTGTAAAGCAGTAAAAATAACAATTTGCCTTGAAGTGATTTTTCCCATTACTAACCAGAGATACAATTATTTCCTCATTACAGAGAATGTTCCTGAATGCAAAAAATTAGCCTTGTGAATGTCAGGCTAGTTAATAGAGTCTTGTCAAAATTTATCACACTACTATTAATTTTTATATTACAGAATTAAGCAGATATATATAAGATGTCAGTAGGCTTGATCTTTACAACTTGAGGTCGTCGTTTCCCAACGGCTTAAAACAGTTGTCCACAAATTCATCACTGACTTCTTCTAGAGCAGGTGGCTTCCATTTTGGGGATTGGTCTTTGTCAATCAGCACTGTCAGGTGGAACAGAAAAACACCAAAGTTACCTGTAAATTTCCTCTAATTAAAATGAGTTAAGATTGCATCAAGACAGATCACTGCAGCGGTCACATGGGGGAGAAAAATCAAGGCAGAGTTTTTGTAACATATGTATTTCTACTCTTATAAAAAATCTTGAGTTGTGACCTGTCTAAAGGCACATCTGGGAGTTGCCTGAAGATACAAGGAACAGTGAATCACTTCAGGAGTGGCCCAAGCTTTGAGGGAACAGATCTGAAATTAGTGGTTTCTGTTAGACCTGCCACTCTTCCCTGATGCTTTTCCATGTGAACCTGGGAACAGTATCTACAATGCTCCTTTTGGACAAGGCCTTTCACACCTCTGTGCAAGATCTGACTCTTTGGAGAGTGCAGGAGATGCCTTAAAGTGGTGTTAAATGCCTAAAGCTAATTTAAACACCTTGTATAAA